TGTTTATCGGCTGCCTTTGCAAATGTTGATGCTTCAATACATTCCTTTGGAAATCCAAAACGGCAGAACACCTCCCCAGAGCCTTTTTTCTTACGCTGACAATAGCTGGGTGTGCATATTGTATGGCGTTGAAGACGATTCAAGAGTTGAGCAAGCTCCAGTTTTGTATCCTCCAGAGTTGGGAAAAGACGTGCAGAGGGATGGATAGAAGCTGGTGGAATATTACGAGCAGGATTCCAGGTAGAGATATGCTGATCCCAAAAGTCAATAAAACCCTGCTTCTATAGAAACTTATGTCAACATCACAAAAGATAGTCAAAAAATTAAGAGCTAACCATTTCCACATTTGTCATATCAATTTTATCAACTGATGGTGCATCTTCAAGCCATAAGAATCCATGGACATGACTGCTACCACGATGTTGCCACTCATATCGCCACCAGTAGTCTTTGACTTTGAACTTTGGCTGAAGATATTCTTTGAAAAATACTTCAAATCGCTTCTGAAAATAATATCCTGCAATTGCTGGGTTTTCATTTAGGTCTTTATTGCGAATTCGATAGGAGTGGACATCCTCTTCAGCTCCAGGAATATGGTGTGGCATATGCTGATGCATGTCTGGCCATTGGATATCTGCCGAAGAGAATGTGACAAATAGATGAGGGGTACCACATTCAGGTGACCTGATTTGAGCAATCAAGTCACGTTGCCCTTTAGCCCAAAATGGTCGTGATCCAGGAAGATTTGTACCAGCACTAGCAATTCGGTCTGCCAGGCCTTTCGCATCATTGTTCTCCAACATTTCCCGAATATCATCAATTGAGAGCACTTTGTCATTTTTATGTGTTGTTGTATACCACTTTGCTGCCTTTTTAGCACTATGCCGCATAATGGTATTCAAAGCCCAATATCGAAAACGGGGATGTCGAGCAAAACGTCCATCATAATAGCGCATCATGTGTCCAGACCACTCCATCATTGTGACAGGAATATTGCGTGCTGCCTTGAAATCGGCTTCACCGTTGGGGAAAAGAGAAGGAAATGCATCAATAGCAATCATCCGATCAGAGTGTTCATTGATGGGTGTCCCTCCTACTGGAGGAACAGTCATGATCACAGGCCCATTTGATACTCCAGCAGCAGCACGAAGTAGATCTATCTCAGTTTGATCTGCACCTAGATTTGGAACAAATGCATTTGTTATGTGAGGATCCTCTTCAGCTGACTGATCTCCAGTCTGATCTTGTGGGGGTCCATCATCAGTTCCAAAATCCGGCATATCTGTGGCATCCACAGTACGTAGTAAGCGATTGCGAATTGATTCATTAGCTGGTAGATTCTCTACACGTTGCCAGTCAATCTGTACTCGTTGATTGCGGTAGGTAGGATGATGTTGCTCCAGATAGTGTAACCACTGAGATATAACATCTCGTCGCACATGGAAATCTTGGTGGACATCCTCATTATCTCCAACTCGTCGCATCACAATAACGTCACACTCTTCAGGAAGTAGCGGAACCTTTGCATGAATCTTTGAGGTATCCCGTACAAAGTTGCAACAGTGACCAGAGTACTTCATCTGACCTCCACGTACTTGATAGAGTGAGACCAATGCATGAATTGGGGCAATCATAATCTCCTCGATCTGTGTTAACGGTGGCAAATCTGGTGGCATTGGCCCAGGATCCATTTTATTTGCAGCTCGAAACTTTTCCGAATTCTTTCGGGCAGAACATTTAATGCATTTTCCATTTTTCACACCCAGATCAAACCAGCGTTCGTTACACAGTGTACACTGTTCCATTTGGATTTCCATCAATTTTTGACGAACATTGTCCATTCGAATTTTTTCCTCCGCAGAAACGGCTAACTGAGCCAAAGGATCATTATTGACTGGCTCTTGTATTGCAACATTCTGAAGAACTGGGTCTGGTTCCAGCTGAATTGGCTGCTGTTGAGCGAGCTGTTCCTGCTGACGTTCTCGTGCCCGAGCACGAGATTGAGCTCCACGTGCTCTACACTGATCACAGCTCTTATAAGGAGCAGTAAAACCATCTAAAAGAACCCAATGTCTAAATCCTGTACACCATCTGTATGGAAGGGTCTCATGTCGAGTACCTCCTCGCCCACCAATACCCTCAGCCTGAGGTGGTGGTGGTGGGGGTAGTGGTGGTGTGAGATCAGGAAGTTGCTCAGGAAGAGGTCCAGCAGGTGGTGATGGTGGTGATGGTGGTGTTGGCTCAGGAAGTGGTGCAGGGGGTGTTGGTTGTGGACTGGGGATAGGGGAAGCAGGAAATGCTGAGTCTGGTGGAGGAGTGCCATTGGAACTATGCACAGAGTCTAAATCCATTCTATCATAATGAAATGGGTCTTCAATCTCTTGATTCTCTTCCTCAACAGTAGGTATTTGTGAAGCAAATAGGCGGCGAGGATGAATATCCGCAGTCATGTCATCAGCTGGCTGGGGACTTCCAGGCTGATTAACCCTTGTGCGTTTCCCACGTTGCTCTCGAGAAGTTGGAGTGCTAGGAGAAAGTGAGCTAATAGGACGAGCAATCCGGTCTAATTAATATTATTAAATATATAAATTATGAAATCAAAAACCTAAACATACCTCGCAAATTTGGAGACTCACGTATAATTTCGCGACGAAGATTTGGCAGTGGGATAGTTGATGGATGTGGTGGTGAGCCTCCAGAACGTGGTCGTGAACCATTATGCGAAGTATTTTGGACTGCCGGATACAATTGTGGACTGGGTGGGCGAGGAAATCTACTTGGTTGAGCAATGAATCCAGGAGGGTGCATTGGGGCTATACAACCTGTCAATCAGATATAAACATCAGTTTGTTTAGACTTACGGCCACCTCCCACAGTTCGTGGAAACAGTGTAGAAGGACCAGCAATAGCAGAATTTTCGGCCTGATGTTGAGCATCAAGCAGTTGTTGTTGTTGTTGTCTACGCCGCACGCGCAGCAGCCCGCGAAGCAGCAATAGTAGTTGGAGAGAATGGCTCCATTGAGTCTGTTGCCTAGACACTTGCAGTCAGGACAATCTCTTGCGGACACAGAACCCAGGTCAATAACCACCCTGGCGTTCCCCAGGGACTGCTGCAACACGAGTACAACAACCACCCTAGTAAAGCCTCGTGTAGATGCCCTAAAAGCAAAGTGTTTGGTGACAGTTCCCTTGAACTGTGTTGCCTGAGAGAAGAGAGGTAGATTGAGAACTACTGAAAATCTCCCACGAGCTATCAAGACAGATTCGGCCTCGAAACAGTGTTCAGAGGATGTAATCCCACGAGCCGCAAGCAGCTCCTGACACCGCAGTGTGAGAGAGGTCCAGCAAGTTGAATTGCTTTGGTGGCTACAGCAAACTAAGGCCGTGCAGGTGGACTTCACACAGCTTAGGCTATTCTTGTGCTATCAAGCCAATAGGAGGGTTCCCAGCAGCTATTAACGTTGCTCAAAACAACGGGGGAGAAGGGGAGAAGGGAAGAATGACAGAATCTGTCTCGGAGTCACTCATAACGCAATCGATCAGTCATCGATAACGGCGCTGACAGCGCCGGGCCCCCGCCGGGGCCTATCGGCCGACACTCATTCAAATCTCGGACCTCATCACACGTTTGACGTCGTGTGGGAGTTTTTTCTTAAGTTTTTTGGTCACCGCAGAATTGGGGAGCAAGCTCCCCAATAATTTCTTTGACTGATTGTATTTATCTTATTATTTTTATCTCTTAAATGACTCAACTCGGATTGAGCAAGCTCCCCATTAGTAAGCCGAGAATCGGCATACAAATCATATTAGTATGTACACATATGAGAACCCGTCACCAACGTCAAGTCATCCTCCAACCTTGCCTGTTGAATGGCATGATATAGTTTAGGCTGAGCAACAAGGAGCTCGTGACAGTGAGTAATCGCCGTGAGATCCTCGTCGACTGGCCTTTCAGCCTTCGAGAATGAGGCTTTGAGGACGAGAGAGAGGAATTCTGCGGCAACATCCAGGCTGTCTATCTGACTATGGAGTTCCTTGAAGACGCTTAGACCTTCCTCGTTCGAGGAGTATATTGATAGGGTTTGGTCGTCCATCGTAGGTTCTGTTTGGGTGACAGTCCTTGTGGGTCCAGTACTATTCGGACTTTGTCTGTGCTTTGAGGTAAGCGGTGCCTAAATGGTAGTCTCGCTCGCAATCCTTTCTTCTGACCCGTGAAGACAGTCATTCACGAGAGAGAAGAAAGTCTTGGACGTATCCGGACCCCCCTTGTGACGTGGGACGTGATGGAGTCAAGCGAGCCCAATTGGGAAGGCCGTCCCTAATTGGGATGTGCTCAATGATGCTGGGCATTGCTGGCTCTCTGCGGGCTACAATGAGCTTTCTTGAACCAAAATTGTTTCGGAGATGCCAGTATTATGCTATATTACACTCCTATGTACTTTATTTTACTTCATTGTCATCAGAACAGCACTATTAGTTTGCTTGAGTTTGTCCTAGCATGTTTTCCATGAGAAACTAGTTGGCACTTCAAGAGTGGGTTTGTTCCAAATGTTGCATCTCATGCACTGTTAGGAGTGAGCATGGTTCAAAGAGAGCGGAGGACTCTGTCGGACAGCTGTCGGACTGACTCGGACAGCTCGGCCGATGCTTCCCAATTGGGATGAGTTCACAAAACGGGAATGACAGCTGTCGTGTCGCCTAAGGGGGGGTGGGGATACGTCCATGACTACCTAAATGGATGCAATTCAGGACTACGTCCCACCTTTTCACCCTCTATTGCTCTTCAGGACCATTCCCGTCGTCTGTGCGTGGAACTTGGAAGTGTCGGAAAGGCATGTGGCAGTGTAGAGATCGAAAAAAATATTGATTCAGCAGTGACTTAGCGTCCAAGTACAGGAAAAATACATCTCGAAAGCAACAGGAAAACAGGGCAATATGCTAACTAGAACAACGACAGCAAAAGAGACAGCATAGGTCAGGAGAAAGAGAAAATTGTAACTTCAGACCTTCTTGGATCTACTGCGCGTGTTTTGTGCCGGAGTTTTGTCAAGATCTATGGTGCCGAGATCGGGTTCATCGACAAGTGGTGTCTTTCGTTTCGTACCAGGTTTTCTGCTACTCTCCGCAGGAGGCTTAGCTGTGTCGTCATCCGCTACCGCTTCTTTGGCTTTACCGCCACGGGTAGACTGTGCGGTCGTAAGTTTTTTTCGGCGATTACGAGCGGCATTGCTGTTCTCGACAGACAACTTGTGAGCCCTGGCTGGAACGGACTTGCTTATTCGCTTGCCCTGCCTCGTTGACGCTTCTGCCTTCTTGGTCCCCTTGCTACGTTGCGTCGGCTTTCTTCTGGTTTGTATGGGCGTCTCTTCAACCTCCTCAAACTCTTCTTCTTCATACACAATCGGCCCATCCCACCTCGCCTCCGGCCATGTAAGATACCTCTGCTCTCGCTCAGTGAGATACTCCAGTTTGAGCCTTTTACGACTCGTCCACAGCGTGTCCTCATCGCTGCTCTCCCAGCGCGATTTGCGTTTGTGACCCGCAAGCACTCCCGCAACGATGGCATCAAATAGGTCTGTTTGCATGACTTGGGAAGGACGGGATTCGAAGGCGGAGATGTTAACGATGGCAACGTCGGTGGTGTCGATGTCTTCATAAAGAGTGACCGCATCCTCCCTGGGTATTTCGATTGGAAAGGCACATATGGCGCGCAAGACCCTGCAGCTGCCGCTATTGGGGAGAGCATCAAAGACGCGCTGCAAGTGAGATTGGGTGGTGTCGTCAACTTCCTAGTCAACATGTAAGGTCGCGAAAGATGGAATAATAAGCAAACTGACTTTGAAGAATGCCTGAGCATTCAAAACTGACAGTGTCGCTTGCAGATCCGAGGTCGCACAGGTTCTTGGGTTAACAACGCCTTCAACGCTACCCAGACAAAGTTTCCATCAGCCAGTTGGATGGCGAAGAGTAAGTTGGCGTTTGATGAATGCGGTAAACAAAACACGGTGCCCACACGATGTTCCATCCACGAAAGAGTGTCCTCTATGGAGACCGCCTGATGGGCAAGTGGTCGGAAAGATTCAAAGTCGTCTGCAGCCACCGGAGACCATTCTACCTCGTCGGACTCTGTTCGGTAGAAACGAACTAGAGTTGCAGGCTTTGTCGCCCATTGCGGAGAACCACGTGGAAAAGAGAAGATTCGATCCAGACGGTCGCCCCTTCCTCAAAGCCTGGGTAAGATAAAACACAAGATAGTGGGTCAGAGATTCTGATGTTCGAGGGATGTTTCGACGAAGGCTCTGAATGAAGGTTGCCGGATTTTCGTTTGGCCCTCCTGATATTGGTCGAGTCGGAAAGGGAAATAATGTCCTTGCGATGACGAGAAGCGGTGTCGGTTCATCGAGTACCAACTCCGTGAAGTTTCCATCCTGAAAACGCGCTAAAATCGCGATACATCAGAGGAATTTGATCTTCTCCGAGCAGTGGCGAGGCATTGTGGGTCGCCAAGTAACGCAAGAGGATTTCGAGAAACAGGTTCTTGTCCTCTAGGTCAATCATTAGTATTCAACCTGCAACCGGCTTGTAAATTAACCTTCAGACACTCCACGAATTTTGATTGGATAAAAGCTTGCTGGCCAAATTGGCGCCTCCCCTTCAGCCCCTACGTACTCGACTGCATCCATCGGTCGGAAGGAGACAGCATGCTCTATATATTTATCGAAACGCGTGTGCGGAAAATGCAGACCCTCGACGAGCAGGAAAGCAATGAAAGTTGCTGTGAACCGATGTCTGATGAGCGGTTGATGAGCATTTTTGCTCCCACAAAACAGGAACAGTACCTGCCGCGCAGCCAGCGCCAAGTTCTTGCTATTAGAAAACGGCCTGCAGGAGACTCGCGGAAAAGCCGGCGGCAGAAACTGAGACACATATTGCTCTTGCCGAAGAGGGTCATCGAAGGAACCAGTATTCGACGTCCAAGCGAAATCGCTCCCAGCTCCATCTGCAAACCGTTCTCGGGGTATCTTGATTCCCGCACAGATGATTGGACATTGTCCTTTCGTCAGGTCTGTCCACGTCTGGAGGATTATTTGCAAGAGAGGGGTGTCGTTGAAGTGGTGTGAGTACATGTCGACAACATAACTTGCTTCGTCCAACACAATAAACAAAGGGTCTTCGCCGATAAAGGTCCGAATTTTGCGTAGTGCAATAGTGATGTTGTCGGCGAGGTAAGTGCAGTCATGTTTCATCAGCTTTCTCGTCACCTCTTCGAAGGGTTCGGTGTTTATGTCGGCAAGATTTCTGGGCAGTAGCTGGGTTGTGAGCCACCGCTTCTTTGTCTCATCCGAAAACTCTGCCTCATCGACGGCTGCCTCTTGCAAAAACATCAAAAACACTAACAATCGGGTCAACAAGATAGCACCGAATAGGTTGGTCATCACTTGGAGCTTTTGAGATACGTCCTTGTCCCTGAGATTGGTTGGGCATTCACGTAGCAGCAATTGCAAGTCGTACGAGCCGAGGCGGCCGTCATCGATATGGCCACTGAGGTAAAAGCCCCAGTTTGAGCAAAGCCCTTCATAACAAAGTCGAGTCTTGCCAGTCCCGGATGCATTGACGAGAAATCTAAACGGTGTTAATGTCATCAGCTTTTTAGAATCGATATGTAGCCTCACTGACTTGTTGGTCGTTGTGAATATATTTGAGACGCGCTCACGAAGAACCTCATCGTGGTGGAAACCTCCCAAGTCATGCAGAATTATGGAGAGATATTTCGACTCTTGATAGAGATGGAGAGATTCCAGGAAGGTGAATGTCGCCTCGTCTGTGTAATCGGTGTGTTTCCGTGGCTCCCAAGGCTCCAAAAAGTCTGCCATCGATGGCCTTCTTCAATGTGGGGCGAAAGTAGTCGAGGCATGACCGTGCAGCGGATGAAACAAAGGGCGGTATGTAAGCTGTGGTCTGTTCAGCGTCGCCCAACACCGTTGACCTACTGACGCGAATCTGTAACCTGCGTCCAGTCTTCGGCTAGTCTTGCTCTCCGTAGTTGTTGGTGAAGTCGAGGCTCAGCAGAAAGGAGAGTGCGGCAGGCAAGCAATGCTGTGAGCTCTCGATCAACCGGTCTTCCTGCTCGTAGGAACGACGCGGTCAGCAATAAAGATAGGAATTCAGCCGCGACATCTAGGTCTTCTAGATGGTGATGGCGCGATTTCAGAGCAGCTAGCTCGTTTTGATTTGAAGACAGCAGGGGGTCCTCAGTGGGCTGCGTTTCCGAATGGGAGATCATAACCTGTTGTGTGTGACAGAAACTGATGGTCACGTTTGTAGGTCCAACACAAGCCATTCGCACAAACAAACTTATATCGCCTGCTCTTACCACTATTGGGTTTCCTCTTCCCAAGACGACTTTACGTTAAACTACTCACCGCACTGCTATCCTCCCAGCCGGTCGCCAGTCGCTCATTTCTGCCGGCTGCATTCCGTCTTCTGTTTGTGGGTATGTGGGAAGTATCATTAAATCCACGAGCTAGATGCCAGTTCTGACACAATTCAATCTCTTGTTCTTCGTACTGCCCCCTTCCAAAATAGGCATTCACCACCTACCCCGAAGTTCGGCTGAAAAACGCTACTTGTTGTCGCATTCAATGCCTGTTAGTGCCAACCAATCGGAAGCAACTACGAGCTGTTTTATCATCTTGCTGCCATGGGCTATTGTCTTCCTCAAACTTAACGTCGCAACGATGTCCTTGTTCTCTTTCTCTATATAAGCTCCCCACCAACCCTCAGAAATTCAAACACACGATATCCCCATCTCTCCGTTATCCACGACTCGGCATTCCCATACTCCGATTCGGTCTCATCCGCAACAACAATGCCCTCTACTACAAGCTCGTTTGACTCTCAGAGCTGGCGACTGGGTCTATCTGATGCGGCCGTCTCTAAACTCAACAGGACCTTCGATTATATGCTAAACTTTGTGAAGCCAGGCTGGGAGGAGAAGCACTTGGAGTCATGGGAACCTTCTGAAGCCGTTCAGGAAGGCTTGTCTACCGAGCGTATCCAGTTTCTCAAAAACCTCCGAATCCCCGTCATGAAATCGAAATCAACTCCGTCTTTGCTACTCCACCAACTGGGCGGCTATTCTCATGACCCAACAATGAGCAAACGAATCGAACAACTGTTTGAGTCCGGAAGGGTATCGTGTGTCCTAAATATACTCTTTATACATCTCGCGCGCTAACATTCCTCGACAGATGTATCGTCAACTGCTCCGGCACAGGGAAAACACGTCATGCTTTAGAGGCGTTGTGTCATAGTTGGGGATTCTATTTCTCTCTCAAGGATAAAGAGGAAGATCTGGGGTCGGGCGACATGACTGCTGTCAAGAATAGGTTAGAACTAAAGAACAGCTTTACTCGAGAACTTCCAGGCGATGATCATCCCAAGTTCAAAAGTCGGCTGGAAGAAAACCGAGAATGCGCTGCTACTTGCTTGACACATGTTGTGGTGGCACGGCTCCTTATTTTCAGGCTGTTTATTTGCGCAATCATACACTCTGGACGACAAGTCTCGGCCTCTGATCAACGCCTGTGGACGCTGCTTCAGATCAACCCTTCTTTGCTGGGATCGCACGACAGCGATATTTTTGAAGTATTGGCAGACATACTGGACTCTCCTAGCCGCGAAAACCGTTCAGGCAATTCAGATATAACTGGAATAGAATTCCTCCCTCTCACACGGGAACTTTTGAATGTCACCACCCATCTAATAGCGGAGCACTCGGATCACCCATCTGTTGCTCCTATCAACGACCGGAAATTTTACTTTGTCCTCGATGAAGCTCAGCTTGCGGCATCAGACTTTTGCAACGCATTTCGCTCTCAAGAACCGAATACCATGGGCACCTACGAACTCAGGCCACTACTGCGCGAGTTCTTTGTCATGCTATACGCTCTGGTTGTCGCTGGCTATATTACGATTGCCACTGGCACTGGCCTGGACATTGACGTGATAGAAGATGCTGCGCATTCTGTAGCTCATAAAGGCACTCCAAGATATTCCATGTTCAAAACAGACATCGGGGGTTTCTACGAAGATTCTGAGCTACATTTGGCATATATGCGTCAATTTATTCCACCCGACGTCCTCGCGCAAGGAAAGCGGGCAACTTCTCCTCAAGCGCATGGGCATCTGGCTTGCTGGTCGGCACGTTATTCTGTTTCTGGTCTGTTTCTCAAAATTAATTCGTACCAACAGCTATCGAACAACTGCCTCAGCAATAGCTTATCTCCTTGAACAGGGTTTCCAGAATCCCCATGACGAACTCGACACCTGGATCATGCTGAATACGGGCTTTATCCCGTCAGACTCGCTCAATTCTGACATTCGCCTACCCTCTGATGTCGGTAAACGCCGGAACACCTTAATCAGGCAGCTCAATTATGGCAAGATTGCCAGAAGTACGTTTCCAACGTTTCCGCGATGCCAGCTCATTCGGTCCTTCAGACTCCGAGATTCGAAACATCTTTGTGAACACTGTCTTCGAATCCTTTGTCCGTTCATCGGCTCTGGCCGTGACAAAACAAACGCGTATCTTTGTTGAAGCTGGCTTCGCTCGTTTTACTCCAACGGAGAAGCTGGGTGAAACTTGTTTATTCGAGCCGCTCATCATTCTTGCAGCCATAACACAGATGGAGAGGGCAGCAGACGAAGAGGCTAAGGTTATGAGGGCATCCAGATCGCACAAATCCGGCCAGTTCTTCATGAACAAGGTCGAGACTGAGACGATGTCTCGGCTCGGCTCGCAAAACAACGGTTTTGAGAGCTACATTGCGCTTCGTCCTCGCGCGTGCCTTTGGCGACTTTGTACCGCTCTCAAAGATATTCTCCTTCAGCCAGAAATACATTCCTAGCTGGATGCAAGGCCGCAAAGGTCGCCTGGTGGCGATTCATCGCGAAGGCGGTCTTGATTCGGCCCCCCAGGTTTACCCCGTTGACTGGCGACAATATCGTCTTCCCACAGGACACCTAGGTCACAATTGTAGCACCGACAGGGCCACCATCGACTGGCTTGACCATCGGGACCCTCTCCGGGCTCCGATATGCTTCCCGAGTGAAACTATAGGTCCAGACATCATGATGAAGCTGCAGTTGGATGACGGCTCATTTGTTTGGGTGGTCGTACAGTGCAAAAATTGGGGTGAAGGGCAGAAAGCAAATGGGCTTCCTGACAAACTTAGAGGCAAGGTCAAAGGTGCAATCAAGACCGTGACACCAGGAAAATTCTGGCTGCAACAGGTTTATTTTTCGTCTGGCGCTTTCATGCCTACTAATCACCATTCAGATCCAAAAAGTTTGGACCCGCGTTATCGACTCGGCACTACTTGAGGAGGCTGTTAACGCGCTCGCTAGTTTCCCTACTCTCGATGCTCCCCATGCCACTGATGGTGACATCTCCATTGACCAACATGCATTCCGGCTGGTTCGTGTCCTTGCGCTTTTCCCACCTCACATAGGGTTTCAGTCGATAGAGGAAGAGCTGCTCACCGATGCTGGACAGCATCCCATCTGCACCATCAACTGGGATGAAGTCCTCCTAAATGAAGATAGCAGGAATTTCCTGGCCACTTGGAAAGCAACCTACGAGAACAAACCAGATATGCGGAAGAAGCCCAAACCACTTCCTCTGCCCGGTCGGCCCACTCCGACCCGCAAATCATATCGGAACAGGAAAATACCTCCAAGTTCAGGCCCAACTCTGCCATCCACCCCCCAAAAGCGGAAGACGCCTAGCGCAGCGTCAAACATCAGAAAGCGCCAAAGGCGTCGCGAGGGCTCTGATGACTATATGCGGTCTCCATCTAGGGCAACAAACAGAGATGTATCGATGGCGGCACAATCGGTGGCGCTTTCAGAGTCTTCGGATTCGGACACAGAATATATCGAGATGGATTAGATGGTCTAGTACAGAGCGTTTCTACGGTATATACAACAACAACATAAGTTTCTTCGAGGTCATGACCATCGATAAATTATTCATTTGTCTTCGTGTTCAAGTTGCCAACAGCGCTAAGTATGTAGCTGCAGCACTCTTACCAACAGTATTTCCGACATGGTATGAGACGCTGAGCGAAGCAAACACACAAGACAGCCGCTGGCGGACTGTATCGGCTGTGAAACAGTCTCAATTGGATTGCTTTTTAAGTGGTTGGACCCACTGAAACGCCATGGTCACAGCAGACGTCTCTTTTCTTCCACTTCCAGGGGATTCAAGCTTGAGGATGCTCTTCTACCCTCATCATCCAGAGTTCCAGTGATCTTCCGACCTTCCACAAATCTCGGTCACTTTGGCATGCTCTTTCTTGGTACAAAAGCTCATCTCACTCAATTAGGTGGATATGCGCAAAGTAAACCTCGTTGTCATCCAACCGTGGATAACCAAAAAGATTGTCGAGCTGTGTGGGACGACATTCTGATCAACTACACCATCGAGTTGTTGTAAGGGCAACCCTGGAGACTCCGACGAAAAGCCTAGCAGGGGAGGATCCAAAGCGTGAATAAAAGCTACGGGAAATACACGGAGGGACCGACCTAGCAGGGGAGGATCCAAAGAGAAGAAACTCTAAGGGTCCGCCTGCTAGGGCGCCAACTATATACTGGTCGTCCGTAACTGCCGACGTAGAGCGCAGAAGGCCTGAGCGGCGTCGCAGGCTCTGTCCCAAGGTGATCGTTGGGAGGGTCTTGACGGATCGGTGATTGTGCGGGCGAAGGAGGCCGTGGACGATGGTCGGGGTGGGTCGGAGCGTCCGAGGGGGCGCCGGTCGGATGCGCCTCGGATGCGTTCGGAGGGTCCGAAGGAGGCCAGGCGGGGGTTCCC